TCTAGTGGGAACAGACTGTAAAGTTGTTGTAAAAGCAAATACCAGCAAAACCAAGAAAGTTTCAGAGGTTAGAGTCACATCTAAACTAACACCTACAGAATAAGTAGGAGATATTCAAGTGAAGGAGCTGGGATGGGTCTCCCAGACAGAGAGAAAAGTTTATACAAGGATTGGAGGAATGAGAAACCATGGTTTTGATGGTTTTTTTTTTTAAAGACTGAAAGAAGCTCAGTTGGCCTGGAGCACATAATGGAAGGAGAGTTCAAGATGATGAGGCTTGAGAGGTAGGCCAGACCATGTGGAGCCCTGTAGACCATGGAAAGGAGCCAATGTTCCACCTTAACCCTTGGAATAGCATCAAGTATTAATATGGATATGAAATTCTAAATGAAGTGATAGCAAATCAAATTCATCTATATACTTAGAAGAGCAACAAAAACCATGTTTCTATGAATAAATCCAACAAAAGTTACATAAGACCTTTATAGAGAATATATTAAACTTTATTAAAAGACATTAAAGAGAATCTAAAAAATGAGGACATATATAATATTCATGGAACAGAAAATGTAACATCATAAATACTTCTTCCCCAAATTAATCTATAAATTAAATACAATTGCAATCAAAATTCCAAAAGGGGTATGTGAGTGTGTGTATGCACATGTGCATATTTGTATATGTACCCAAATAAGCTGATTCTAAAACTTATATGGAAGAGCAAAGGTCCAAGAATAGCATCGACATTATTGAAGATGAAGAAAGTAAAACCAGATATCAAGATGTTTTCTAAGGTGATAGCAATTAAAACATGTGGTAATGATGCACAATAGACAACAACCAACGTAATAGAATAAAGAGACCAGAAACACATCCATATACAGATGGAAGTTGAATATATGACAGAGGTAAGCATTTCAAATTGTAGGAAAAGGATGAGACCAGTCAATAAATGGTGATAAAACAACTGACCGTATAGAAAAATATGAAACTGGACACCTAATTTCATAACATACACAAACATCAATTACAGATGAATTAAAGAAAGAAATGTAAAATACAAAATTTTTAAAATAAGATATAGATTAACATTTTTATATCCCAGGGTAAGGAAGAATTTTCAAGATGTTACAAGCATATCCATAAAAGATGGACAAATATGTCTACATTAAAATTTAAATTTTCTTCACGATGAAAAAAAAAACTAAAAATGAATTTAGAATAAGCAAAAAGCTGGGGAAAAACATTGCAGTGCATATAACCAACATAGGATTAACATCCAGAATTTAGAAAGAATACCTACAAGCCATTAAGAAAAAGATGACCAATTCAAGCTGAAAAGTAGTCAAAAGACATAACATAGGTAATTCACATAACATAGGTAATTCATATCCAAATGGCCAACAAATATATGAGAAAATATTCAGACTCACTCGTAATGAGGAATATAAATAAATTAAATCAAACTATATTAAAACAACAGGACCATATTTCTGACCCATGGGTTTGGAAAATATGTAAATAGTAGAAGACTACAGTATCAAGTAACAGGAAGGAAATACACTTTTAGTAGAATACTAAATTGGTACGACCACTTTGGAGAACAATTTGGAATATGTAATTAAAGTTAAATGTCTGCATGCCCTACAGTCAAGCAACTTCACTGCAAATAATATACAAGGGGATGTATACAAGACTATTCATTCCAGCATTTTTTGTACTAGCAACAAAACAAAATTTTTTTAAAAACCTAAATTCTCTCATCATCAGGAGAATTCATAGATAAATTGAATTATATTCATTAAATAGAAGCTGTACCCTGACTAAAATTATTGAACTACAGCTATATGCATCAACATCAACAAATCTCAAAAATAGAAGGTTTGGAAAAATTTTTAAAATATGCAGTATGCCACCACTTAAATAATGTCTTAAAACATGAGAAACAATATCATATTTTAAGAATACGTCTGTAGTAAAATATACACAGAGATAAAAATTTGTATGGAAATGATAAATTCAGGATAGTAGTTACTTCTGGCAGAAGAGAAGGAAATGGGTTTAAAGACACTGAAAACTTCAGTTGTTTGTAATGTTTTATTTATTTGAAAAAATCTGAACCAAATATGACAAACTTAAATATGACAAACCCAGTGATGGTATGGTTGTTTGTAATATAATTCTCTTTATTGGTCTGTATGTTTTCTTGAATGAAATAGTTCATAACAAGTTAGCTTTATCCCAGGAATGTCTAATGTCAGAAAACCTACTACTATCATACATTGTATAAATAGGTCAAGTGAAAAAAGCAGTATAGTTTGATAAAATTCAGCTTTCTTTCCTGATAAAAGATACTTTTCTTCAATGTTTTCCTATCATAACTTTTGCCACACTGCAACTGCACTCCCCTCAGCCCCATACACTCCACAAGGGTGGGCACCAGGACCATCCTGTTTACCACTTAATCCTCACTGGCTACTAGATGCCTGGCAAAAAGCATCAATCAATATCTGATTGATAGGTAACTTGATTGATTGGATGATTGATGGATTGACTAACAGTACAAAGTATATAATCTTACAAAAAAACAACAGATACATGCATAAATATAAAATAGATATAAAATTTTATCAGTGGGTTAATATTAACATATGAATGTAGCTTCACCACCATTGCTACATGGATTATGGTGACCTTGGGCAAGTTACTTAACCTCACTATTCAACAATTTCCTCATCTGTGAAATTAGGAAAATAATAAACTTTGTCTCTAAAGTCTTGTGAGAATTAAAGGATATAATATATGTGAAGTACTTATAAGGGTGCTAGCAAACAGGTGATTATGGGCTATTATTCATGTTTCCATAAAGTTTCCATAGTTGTCATTTTCATAATGAAAAAGATTTTTGTTTTGTTTTTTTGGCTGCCCAGCATGCAGGATCTTAGTTCCCCAACCAGGGATCGAACCCACGCCCCCTGCAGTGGAAGCACTGGACCACCAAGGAAGTCCCAAAAAAGGTTTTAAAGTAAATAAAACTTAATTTTAAAACGTATATACATATGTAAGAGCTGACCTTCCAAGAATCTTCAATGCCTCTTTTTCAGAAATATGTATACCTATTAAGTTGAGAGTATTGATAATTTCTGAAGTATCAATCCCTCCTTTAAAAGAATAAAGAAAATAAGCATCAACTGGAAGGTCTGAAAAGATGCAGAGGCAAATACTCAAGCAGTATTCAGTGCATTATCACAACATTCCATAAAGCAGCAAAATCCCAGTTATTTCTTCTACTTGCCAAGATAAAAAGAAAAGACTGGAAAGCCCATATAATATTTCCTGTATCAGTAAAATATTTACCCTCCAATATTGCTCAAATCAGTCATTCTTGCCTCTTTCCTTTCCTTCACCCTGCACATTCAACCACCAGATGTGGTCTGTTCTGTGCCTAAATATCTCCCAAATCATTTATTCCCATCACCACAGTCCCATCGTGGCTTAGATGCCAGTCCATGCTCCACACAAATATGCTGGTGTCATTACACCCCTACTGAAAACTCTTCAGAGGCTTCCCACCTCATTCCCCCTTAGGATCAAGTCCAGAAACCTTCACAGACCCCCAAGGCCCTCCATGATTCTGCCTGTGCCAGCCTCCCAGCCACATCTCTGACACTTCCCCTTGCTCTCACTTCAGCCTCACTGGTCTTCCTCTAGTTCTTCGGACATGATCTGCTCCTCTGAGGTGACCACAGCCTCCCAACAAGCTATTTCCTCTGCCTGGAACACATTTCCCAGCCCTTCACTTAGCTAACTTTTACTGATCTTTCCAGATTCAGCTTCTCCACCATTGCTACATGGAGCTTCATGTAAAAACCTTATCAAAATGTTAAATATTTCTCAGATCCTTAGCTAAAAAGCATATTATTCAAAGGGTATCACGTTTTTGTTGGTGGTTTCATTTTTGAAAGATAGTATGTAAATAAAAACTACATCATTTAAAAATATTCCTTAGAGGTAATCACAATAAAACAAATGACAGAATTAAGTAAATGAGTTTTTGATAACCTTTCAGGGAAACCAAACACTTAATAATAAACCTTTACTAAAACATAGTTAAGTTTTGGATAAAATTGCTAACTGTATAAAAACAAACTTTCATTATTTGTGTCCAGACTCTTAAAAGTCAACTTCATTTTTATCTCATTATCTTTAAGGTACTGCATAAATGTGCCAAGGTCCAGCAGATTATGCTTCTTAATATCAGCAGATTTTAAAATTATCTCTAAGAGGGAAAAAAATGATATTAGAGACAGATTCAGACAAGATAGATTACAAATTACAGTGTTTAAACATTAGTATGTTTATCACATGTAAACTGGATAGTCTGCCATAAATTACTACCGCCTTAGTTTTAGAGTAAAATTTCTAATACTGAGAACATAGACTCTGAGTATTAGAATTTTAGAGAACTTTAGCAATTGACTAGTCTTCTCTTCTACTCAACAGTCATGCATTTATTCATTCACTCAACAAATATGTAAGGAACTGTTCTAAATGCTTGAGAAACAGAAATGAATCAGCTATAGCCCCAGCCCTTGAGAAGCTTACAGGCTAATAGGGAAGACGCCAAAACCACTGTGATAGAAAATGTTCAAGGATCAGTGGGTAACAAAAATGTGAGCGCTCTGAAGGAGGGACGGAGATGAAGGAAATCTTCATAGAAGGGACTTGAATATTTTGAAAATGAATAGCGAAAGGTGAGCAAACAAAGAAACAAGGGTGTGAGAAATGTAGCAGAGACTACCAGCTGTCCACCAAAATTCCTCATCACCCGGTAGGGACACACAGCTGGACTACATTTCCCGCCTCCCTTGCAGTTAAGCATGGTCGTGTGACCAAGATCTCACCAACAAAATACGAGTGAAAGTAATGTGTACCACTTCTAGACCTAGTTAATAAAATCCTCTCACAGGTAATCCTGCACATGCTCATTCCTTCCACAGCTGAATGCAGGTGATGATGAGACCCTTGAGGAGGATAAAGCCACAAGAGAGACAGGACCTGGATCCCTGAATAACTGCAAGGCGGAGAACTGCCCCACCAACCTCAACACCCACCAAGAAATCATGAAGAGCTTTCAATACCATGCTAAGAAGTCTGGACATTTCCCATCGACATTGTCAGTCCCTGAAGAACTTTAAGGAGGGTTATGAAATAATCATGATATACGTTTAGATATGTCATATGGTGGCAGTGTGGAAGAAGAAATGGTGAGAGGTAAAGGCAGGAAGACTGGTTGTAAGACTGTTACAGTAACTTAGGTGAGACATGGTAGAGGCCAGGGCTTACCCGAAGCAATGGGTATAGAGGGAAGGGAACTGGTATATTAAGGAATTACACAGGACCCTGTGATTAACTGGATGTTGGGGTAAAACAAAGGAGGCATCTGGAATGACTTGGTAGTGGAACACTTATCCAAGACATTGATCATAGAGGGAAGCAGAGAGCCTCAGGAGCTGGGAATAGCTATCAATTTGTGAGTCACCCACTAAGATGATAGTTTAGAGCCTTGAAAAGTAATCTTGGGGCTCACCCACATTTGAGAGGTAAGCCAAAAAAGAGTCATAAAGGGATCTGAAAAGCAGCAGTGGGAGAGCTGAGATCAAGTGCCCAAAGGGGAGATATGGGGGACCTCATCAGTGTTCCATACTGCAGAAAGGCCAAAAACCAAATAACTGGAAAGAGCCCTCTGAGTGCGGCAATGGAGAAGTCTTTAGTGACCTTTCACAGAGGGGAAGAATGGAGGCAGAAGCCTCACGTCAGACAGACAACCGAAGAGTGAGAGAAGTCAAGGCAGAAAGGGCAGACTTGGCTCCATCAAAGACCTTGACTGCACAGGAAGGAGACTGATAGGACAATATCTAGATGGGGAGGCGGTGTGGGGAGCCAACAGGAGAACCACTGCGATTAGAGAGGAGAAGTTTGAAAATACAGGACAAAGAAAGGGAATAGTAGAAGTTGTACTTTTCCCAATTTAAAGGAGATGAGAGGACGAAAGGACAGAAATATAAGTGGAAAAACCAACTTTGAAAAGGACAAAAAGCACCTCTCTCCCTGAGACTGGAGGAAAGAAAGTGAGCATGAGTATAAATAAAGGTAAGATTATAGTTGATGTATTAAATTTACTGAGGCTGCCTTAAGCTCCGTAAACAATTTTAAGCATTTTTCATTTATTTGATCATTAGTCATCATTACGATCCTACGAGACTAATATTATCCCTATATTACAGCTTAGGACACATTATGAGAGGGCCAGAAATCTGAGGGAGTTCATGACAGTTCACCTCTATTTACTCAGTGAAGTAAAGGGCATGGTCAGCTACTGGAAGGCAGGAGCAAGGACCTTGTGGCTGGGATAAGCAGGTTTTCTCAACACCAACACTACTGACATTTGAGACCAGATATTTCTTTGCTATGCTATGCACTGTAGAATGTTTAGCATCATCCCTGGCCTGCACTCACTACATCCTTCACATCACACACACACATCCCCCACTGTCACAGCCATCCAAAATATCAAATGTCTCTGAGGGACAAAAACACCCCTGGTTGAGAACCACTGGGATAAATAGAAGATAAAACTGACAGGCTGATAAAGCAGAAGACCCAGCTCTTTACTGAGAACAGAGATGGAATAATAAGATTCTGGAGCTGCCTTCTGAAGGAAAGCGTAATTTCGTCAGTTCCTTTGCTAATTCTGTATAATGCAAAGCAAGTGCAAGAAAAAGCCTTGGACACACAGAATCCAGTGAAATCAATACATGTTATATATAATTAAGACTGGCATCTGCGGTTGGGTAGGCCTCAGGAAACAAACCATCAATTTCCATCACATTGGAAATAGCATTATCCTACCTCCCATTTCTCTGACATACACTTTATAAATCCTAAGAAATGTGGACTGAACATTACATGTCACTGTGCTAACTGTGTGGTTTTTCTGGATTCAGTGTTCTGTACCCTCACATCCATCATTCAGTTCAAGCCTTCCAGATGGAAACTTATTAAATATTATTTTCTCTTAGTGAATTTAATTCAGTCACCTCACAAGGAAAAGATTTCTACAAAACCTGGTGTCCCCGTCCCCTTTTCAAACACACGTGCACACATGTTCCCATGCTGTGGATGAAGCCAATAGTCTCTCAGAGCAGCTTTAAGTAAAACAAACACTTTTTTTTTACTCTACTGGGTCAGTTGGTTACATGTACAGCTGTGGAAATGAGGATCCTCTGAAAATACAATAGTGAGTATTGATATTGTCGTGTGTTAAGCTTAAGGATAACTCTACACTACAGTGTAGGGTATAATGTTATGGCGTAGTATAGCGATTTCTACAGTGTTAGGTTAAACTGAAACTACGTGGTTGTAATTAGTGTGTTAGTATCAGAGCATCTCCCTCTCCCTGCATCGGGAGTAGCAAGTGCACACGCTGGAAAGCCCCAAAAGGGCTCCGCGGTGAGCACTCGTCCTGCAGTGCCAGCCACATTTCCCAAGCGATGGGATGCTCTTGGGGAGAGCTCAGCAGGAGCCATCAAGACAGACCCTTGGGGTTTCCAAGAGGGGAAACGAATTTGGGCCCAGGCCTAGGCAGTCGGCTCACTGCGGGGGTTTCGTTAACACTGCAGGAACGCCAAGCGGGCCTTCTACGTTTCGATGGCTTGGACCCCATTTTTAGGCAAGATGGGAAAGTCTTCTATATGTTTCACCGTAGCAGCTCACTAATAGGACACAAACGTGTGGAAAGTGCTCCAACAGCGGGGCAACTCTGAGTGAAGCAGCTCACACGGAAAGAACGTCTGAGCCCCGAAGGGTGCTCAAAGGGCTGAAGGGGTCTTCTCCGCCCCCACCCCCATATCAGCCCAGTAGGGCCTCCAGCCTCGCACTCTCCCTGAGGCGTGAACGCACCGCGGCCCACCTCCCCGTCCTGGCTGGGAGGGATGGCCATAGCTTCCAGTCCTTTCTGCAGTTCGACGATGTCCACCATCCCGTCCCCGTGGCGGTCCAGCTTCGGGAAGAGCTCTTCAAAAAGGCTATCGGATTCGTTTTCCTGGCCAGCCACGGTGGGCAGCAGGAAGCCCCCTATGCCACGCAGCATGGTCATGCAGCGCCAAGGGACCCCGAAAAGTGGGAAAGCCCCAGCCGCAGGCCGAGCCGCTAGGGAGCCTCCGCGGGAGCGGCTGCTGCCAGCAGGCAGCGTAGCAGCTGCCCCTGGAACGCACGGTCCTATGCCTCTGGCTTCGGTGCCAGCGGGCGAGGAACACCCCCTTCATCGACAACAACGCTGGTTCCGGATTTGCTTCTGCCAGTCTTGGCTGGGGGCTCCTTGGAACCACCTTCTTCTTTTTTTTTTTTTTTTTTTTTTTATGGTTAACGTTTGGCTGGGAATTCCCATACAGAACAGTCTTAATTCAAAGTCCAAAGTGGCTGAGCGTAGTCCCATTGTTGTGAATTTTTAGGGGAGATTTTTTTCAGTTTTGTGCTCAGAGCCAAGGCTGGTGTAGATCAGCCTCCATGAAGCTGCCCTGGGCCAGTTCTCTCTCCTCCTCTTACTAGGCCAAAACTTCATCTCCTATTTTCATGGTTTGTTGAAATCCAAACCCCTTAGTAACAAAGGGAGACAATATTAGGACTTCTTTTTATATTTATAAAAGTAAGGGAAAAAATAAGCTTTCTAATATTTAACATGAATTGACAATTGCACATATATACAATATTTAAATAAGTGTACCCAAAATGAGGGTGGATGAACAAAGAAATTTACTCTTGTGTAATAGAGGTGATCACCTGGTCAGTGGGTCAGTGAGCTAGTGGAAAAATTGGTGAGAAAATCAGCAGCAGTTAAGGAAAGCCACCAGAAGCACTGCTCAAACCAAACAGACCAGTCACAGCAGTGGAACAATGGAGACCAGCACTGAACACAGACAGGAGACCAGCTGACGCCAAAGGGCGTGCTCTAACAATCTGCTCAGGCAGGTTGTTCCTTAGTCCCAATGCTGCAGAAGTCACAAGTAAGCCACATCCCTCCCTCGGACCCCTGGACGCTCTCTTAGGGAGAGAGTTAGTGAGCAGTTAGCAAAAGGAAGTAAGTACTATCTAAAGGGGCTAATTCTAAGTTTAAGCTTTAAAACTAATTAGATATTGGCTTCACTTTTTCCCCCTAATATCTAACAGGTGGGGGCTCAGGAGAAAGCCCTGTTTAGGCAAATAAAGTACACTTTCTCTACATGTCTGAATTTAATACGAGCTGAGATTTGGGAGGCTTTGTCCCATTAGTATTCTTCTAGACCCATGTTTTGAAGTCCTCTCTCAGCACACTGGTACTGCTGATCGTTTCTTTATGATCTCTACTGATGTCGGGCAACAAAACTGAAGTTGAAAGCCAACACCTTAGGATGACAAAGCAGAGGATGGAAAGGATCCAAATTCTTGATTGCATCCCTAAGCCGGTGAACCACTTCTGGAATCAGCTTCCGCTGAACCTCTTTGGACAGTTGACAAACTAAACCTCTGTTATTTAAGCCACTTGTTGTTGGATAGTCTGTCACCGCTGAAAGTATCATAACTTATAGAAAAATCATAACTCGTGTAATAATTACAAACTGGAGGGAGTGCGATTCTCTGTATCACTCTCAGTTTGTAATTATTCTATGAGAACATAACAGAGACCTAATACATATACATATCAGGGAATGAGGGAAGGCATCCTGAGGTTAGGAGATATTAAATCTAAGACCTGAAAGATAAGTAGGAGTTGGCCAGTGACGACTGAGGAAAACAGCATTCTTTGCGCTTTTAACATTGCTGAGAAGAAAAGGAATTCGAAAAGTTCAAAGAACTAAAGGAAGGCTACTGTTACTGGAGAATAATGAACAACAGAAAGAGTGGCATAAACAGATTAAAAACACAGGCCATGTTAAAAATCCTACCTTTTATCCCAAGGGCAATATAGAGCTATATTAGGATAAATTACGTTATGCTGTGATAACAACTCCAGAATCTCAGTGACCCACAGGGTAAATACCTCATTTGTACAAATACCCGTTGTAAGTCAGCTGTGGGCTCTACTCCTAGGATGTTGTCCTTACTCTGGGTCCGAAGCAGCTACTGTCTGGAACATAACTGGTAGCCATGGCAAAGAGAAAAGGGAAAATGGAGAAGCATGCTGTGACTCTTGAACTTCTACTTATAGGTGACATATTCAATTTCCGTGTACATTTCACTGGCCAAAGCAAGTGACATGCTCTCCTGACTTTAAGTCCTCCTGCAGGGTAGGATGCTGAATATTGGTGAACAATATTACACTCTAACCCAAGAACTATCTCAGAATTTTGGTCAACAGAATAAACATGATTTAATTCACAATGTAAAATATTGCTCTAGGGAGTTCCCCGATGGCCTAGTGGTTAGGATTCAGGGCTTTCACTACAGTGGCCCGGGTTCAATCTCTGGTCTGGGAACTGAGATCCCACAAGCCACGTGGCACAGCCAAAAAAAAAAAAAGAATCCCTCTAGGTGCTGTGTGGAGAACAAGAAATAAGGGAAGAGTCAGTGAAATGAGATCAGTCATGAGACTCTTGGAGCTGTCAGCTTGAGCTACGGTGGTGGCAGTGGCGAAGGAGAGAAGCAGACAGATCATGATATATTTTAAAGGTAGAATTGAATGAACTTTGGGAATGACTGGATGAAGGAGAGAATGATCCTGCTATAGACTGAATGTTTGTGTCCCCCAAAATTTCATGACATGCTAACCCCCAAAGTGATGGTATTAGGAGGTGATTAGGTCATGAAAGGAAGCCTCATGAATGGGATTAGTGCCCTTATAAAAAAGATTCCAAAGAGCTCCCTGGCTTCTTCCTCCTTGTGAGGACACAGCAAGAAGACAGCATCTATGAGCCAGGAAGTGGGCCCTCACCAGACACTGAATCTGCCAGTGCCTTGATCTTAGATTTCCCAGCCTCCAGATTGTAATAAATTTCTGTGGTTTATAAGACACCCAGTCTACGGTATTCTGTTATAGCAGCACTCTCGGATTGAGACAGTACCAAAAATAACTTTTAGGTTTCTGGCATGAGACACCATGTAGATGGGATTGCCGATCTCTGAGGTGGAGGAGATTGTTTGGGGATAAGATCAAGAGTTCAATTTTAGACACGTTAAGTTTAAGATGCCTGTGAATCAAGCAAGTGGCAAAATTGCATGCACAGCTCAGGAAAGAGGTCCAGGCTAGAAATATAAATCTGCAAGTCATTGGCATACAGGTAGCTTTTAAAGCTATAGGAAAGGAGAACATCACTTAGAAAGCATGGAGTAAGAAGGCCCTAGACCAAGCTCTGGAAAACTCTAAAACATAGATGTCAAATGCAGGCAACAGAGCCAGCATGGCATAGTGGTACAAAGCTCAGGCTCAAATTCAAGCTGCCAGCGTTTGAATCATCTGGAGCAAGTTACATAATTTCTCTGAGCCTCAGTTTCCTCATCAGTACCAGTTCTGTCTCAACAGTCTGTTGTAAGGATTAAGTAGAAAAAAATACTTAATACATGGCCTAACACATTAAAAAGCACTTTATAAATGATAGCTGTTTTTATTTTTATTTTTATTAAAGGAGACTGAGAAAGAGCCTTCAGAGAAGTAGGGGAAAACAGGCAAGTGTTAAAGAAACCATAAGAAGAGGCTGTTTTTAGAAAAAGAGAGCTGCCAAAAGTGTCAAAGTCTACTGAAAAACTGAGTAAAATTAAAAGCTGGGACTGAAAATTGTCTTTTGGATTTGACAAGAAACACGCCAGCATTTTTAGTGACTTGGTGAGGAAGAAACCAGATTGGGGAGAGTTAAAGATTAAATGGATGTCCACCTCATACTATGCACAAAAATAAATTCCAGGTGAAGTAGATATAAAAGTAAAATGTGGGGCTTCCCTGGTGGCGCAGTGGTTGAGAGTCCGCCTGCTGATGCAGGGGACATGGGTTCGTGCCCCGGTCTGGGAAGATCCCACATGCCGCGGAGCGGCTGGGCCCGTGAGCCATGGCCGCTGAGCCCGCGCGTCCGGAGCCTGTGCTCCGCAACGGGAGAGGCCACAACAGTGAGAGGCCCGCGTATGGCAAAAAAAAAAAAGTAAAATGTGAAACCTTAAAATGTTACGAAGAAAATCTGGAAGAATATCTTTGTGATCTCAGTGTAGAAAAGGAGTTCCAAAACAAGACAGAAAAAGCATAAACCGTAAAGCACGAATGTGATGAAATTTAAAACATCTATGCATCAGAACTCATCACTTAAAAGGTGAAAAAGATGAGTTACAGATGGAAAGAAAATACAAGCTTATAAACAACAAAAATAACATTCAGAATATGTAAGGAATCCTGTAAATCAATAAGAAAAAGACAACCTAATAAATGGACAAATAATATGAACAGGGATCTCACCAGGACCTACAATCTATTAATATTTTCACTTTGTCAGTGTCATCACCTCACCATGTTATTTCTCTCTTTACTTCCACTTAGATTCCACAATCCATCACCTCAATCAATACCTTTCATACCCCTTTAAATTTCTGGTCCCTTTTTCTTTGCCTAATTCATTTGGGA